CACAAAAGCAGTTCTGGTCCCTAAGTAAAATTTAAGTTAGAAGTGACATTTAAGTTTTAGCATTTCTCTCTGTGTCTCTGTGTAATATTTTCAAGGCCTTTTTTCATGTTGGAAAGTTAATTTAATAATTCAAAATATGACTGTATTGGGGACATATTGCTTTTAAAGAGTTTGTTGCATTATCACAAAGGATCCTGCTCCAATATGGCGGTGTCATTAGAAGAGATTCAGAACTATATATAGAAATAATGAACATATGAAAACACAAGATGACAGCTACGTACCTTAATGTCAGATTTCCAGCAGTCAAGGCTAACTTTTGAGAATAGGATACCTCCTAATTTTTTTGTAGCACTATTATGATGAATTTATTTAGTATTTTATTTATTTATTTTTATTTTTAATTTTGCCAGTCATGGAGCCAGAACTCTGGGCCTGGGTGGGCGCTGTCCTTCAGCTGTTCAGGTCAAGGCTAGCGCTCTACCACTTGAGCCACAGTGCTGCTTCCAGTGTTTTCTGCTTGTGTGGTGCTAAAGAGTCGAACCCAGGGCCTCATGCATGCAAGGCAAGCACTGTACCACTGAGCCACCTTCCCAGCCCCTATTTAGTACTTTAATACTACTTTCTGAATTTGCTCACCGTCTTTTGTTGTATGCCAATAGAATTTGCTTAAAAGTCACCATAGATACTTAATCTTACAGTCTTTTCTGTGGATAAAAATATATGATGACGGGCTAGGAAGGTGGCTCAGTGGTAGAGCGCTTGCCTTGCATGCATGAGGCCCTGGGTTCGATTCCTCAGCACCACATAAGCAAAAAGAAAAAAGCCGGAAGTGGCGCTGTGGCTCAAGTGGTAGAGTGCTAGCCTTGAGCTGAAGAGTTGAGGGACAGTGCCCAGGCCCAGAATTCAGACCCCATGACTGGACCCCTCAAAAAAATATGATGACTTGCATTCATTAATTCTTTTCATTTTATTCTGATTTATCTGGAACTCCTTGTCTGTAATATAGTTTAGAAATTTCACAAATTCATTTTATGGTATAAAAACCACAATTGTTCACCAAAATAAATTTTAACACTAAAAGTAGTGCAATAATAATGATCAGTTAATAAATATCTTCAGGATTAAGTTATGTGGAACTGATTTAAATTCTGGAAGCTTTTCCTGATGCACATGTGTGTATGTGTGTGTGTATATGTATATATATATATACACATATATACATGTGTGTGTATATATATATATTAATTTAAAGTACCCAGTTTTGGTATTCTTAGGCACAGGCTTGTGTTTAAATCACTGCTATCATTTTCTGCTCAGGGGTACAGACGTCATTTGAGAGACTGTGATTCATTAACACTACATTAGATATAGCAATAAAATATCTGGCACTGTCTAGAAGATACAGAAGTATATGTCACCAATTTAGAAACTAAAGCAACTTTCTTTCAAATCCTTTGTTGTGGGTTAGAGATAAGCCACTGTGGTGAAAATATTGCTTCATTTAAGATTTTTATGCATGGTAAAGAACCTTTAGTGGTGAGACACATGTAATCATTCAACAAACTACACAAATGTTCTGTTAAACCTATTTATGTTTATATCTATAACTATATTTTGAACATAGACACACAACTTCTCAATAAAATACTAACTTAAATAACTAACCAAAAGAATTATACTCTGACCAAGGAGATTCATCACAGAAATGCAAAGCTGGTTACATATCAATCGATAAATATAATACAACACATTAACAGAAGGCAAGAACCACATGATCATCTCAACAGATGTAGAGAAAGCTTTTTGACAAGATCCAACCACCTTTTATGATAAAAGATCTGGAGTAGCTAGGAATACATAGGATATTCCTTTACATAATATAGGATATTTTTGACAAACCTTCAGCCCCCATTGTACTTACAGAGGAAAAAGTATAACCATTTCCACTAAAATCAGGAACAAGTCAAGATGTCCACTTTCTCCACTCCTCCTAAAAATAGTTCTGGAATTCCTAGGAAAAAATACAAGACAAAGAAAGATATAAAGTGGATCAGAATAGGGATAGAAGAAATAAAACGGTCCATATTTGCAAATGACATGATCCTATATTTTAATGAGCCTCTAGATTCCTTCCACCACTCAAGCTAATAGAGGCTGACTAAAACATTGGCAAAGGTTATGAAATCAACCCACAAATATCAGTAGCATTTCTGTATGCTTACAATGAGAATATTGAGACTGAAATCAGGAAAGCAACTCCATTTGAAATAGTTTGAACAAAATTACCTAGGAAGTCACCAAGGAACTAAAGCCTCTTTACAATGAAAATTATAAAAATCTGAAAAAGGAAATTAATTAAGGAAAAAAAATATTTTTATGCTCTTGAATGGAAAGAAATAATATCTTGGAAAGAAGTAATATCATGAAAATGGAAGTACTTTGCACAGAAATCTACAAATTTAATACAATTGCTTCCTAGTCCCAATATCAATGTTCCCTGATCTAAAGAAAACAATCCAAAATTTTATATGGAACACACAAGAGCCTTGAATCACAAAAGCAATCGTAAGCAGTAAAAGTAGTGCTGGAGGAATAGCAATACCAAACTTCAAACTCTACTACAGAACTATAATAATTAAAAACAGGAATGAGGAAGGATGACTGAGAATCGAAGACCCAGAAATAGGACTGATGGTCAATAAATGAGAATTGAAGACCCAGAAATGCCCCCATAGACAGTCACACAGGAGTCAAAAATATAGGCTGGAAGAAAGACAGTATCTTCAACTAATGGTGCTGGAAAAACTGGTTATTCACATGGACAAAGGGGAAACTGGATTTCTATCACCTTACACCAGTATCAATTCAAAAATCGATCAAAGACCTCAATGTAAGAACTGAAATCATGAAACTATTACAGGAAGGAGTAGGAGAAACTTTGGGAATCAGAAGATGAAGTAACTATGGCAACTGACTTTGAAAGCATCATGGAGTTTCCTTAACAAACTAACCAAAGAGCAACCTACCATGTGATCTAACAGTTCTACTCATGGGCATTTATCCAAAAGATTACTAAATACCAAGATTCAGTAAAACCACCAACACTATCATGTTCATTGTACCACCATTCACCATAGTCAAGATACAGAATTAGCTCAGATGCTCCTCAAAGGATGAATGGATCAAGAAAATGTGATATATATCTATATTTATATGCACACACACACACTCACACACACATATATGAAATAGCAATGGAACTTTACTCAGCCCTTATAAAGCATGATATTGCATTATTTGCAAAAAAAAAGGAAGGACCTAGAAAAGCATACTAAGTGAAGTAAGTCAAGTCTAGAGAAACAGAGGTTGCATGTCTTCTTTGATGTGTGGAAGCTAGAAGTAGTTTATAAATATATAAGTAAAGACTTTGAATGTACATACATATATTAATTGGAACAGTGTAATTACTTAGAAAGGCAAAATCAGGGTTCAGCAAAATAAACACCAGGAACTGGGTACTTGAAAGTGTTGGGGTAGGGATCGGGGGTGTGTGTTAGACAAAAGAAGAGAATCATGAAGAGTGGTACAATGCAGTCAAAAATTAACTATAGTATAAAATGTAAGAAAAGTGAGGGGAGAAGTGGATGTGAATGTTGAAAAGGGTGACATCAATCAAGACACATTGTATTCATAAACTGCTTTGCTGAATTGCAACTCCTTTGTACAACTACTTAAAGATAATAAAAATGTTTTTAAAAATGTACTCCAAGGCAAGCATAGTGGCTCACATCTGTAATCTCAGCTGTCTAGAACTCCAGAGTCTGAGGCAGGAAGATTGTGTGTTTGAGACCAGACCAGAATACATACCAAAATCTTTACTGAACAAAATCCAAATCTATCTAAAAACTCACCCTATCTTTTACAATCACCATTTAATGTCAGTTTGTTTTGGATCAACCAACACCCACTAGATTTTTCTCTGAATTACATGTGTGAGGGTAGAATTATTTAACTGACATTGAAATAAAGTCTGCCAGGTATGTCTCTTTTTTTCCAGAGCACAAGTGCATTTTTAGATTTTGTGAGATTTGGACAATACTTAAAAACAATTTGAATTCACTAGAAATATTGGAAGGCATTTTAGGACTATATCCTAATCTACAGTTTTAAATGCTTTGTTCAAAATACTCTGGTTTTGTATGTATTTTGTCATCCTGCCTGATATAGACTTCCTAAGACAAACAGTTTTGTAATATTTTATGGAACCATTTTTTTATGAACTGTGAAGGTATAATTCATGTTTTTTCTAGTTTATTTGTTCCCTCGATGAATTAACTACAATGAGGGAGAAATGGTAAATATCTGTGGTGTTTGCTTTTTTCTCTCTAAGCTAATTCTCAGGCACACTAGAACTTGGTCCTTCTAACAGTTTACCATGTTATGTTATTTTAGATGAAATTCATACATAGTATGTTCCATTATAAACAATAGTCCAGAGCAGTTGGCAGTCAACAAAACAAATTAGTGAAATTCTTATAATTTTTCCATTTTCAATTTACTATTTTTGTTTTGTGTGTTTTGAACTGGGGGTCAGATCCATACTCAGTTTCTTGACAAAAATCTTTCAAATTTTCTATGGGAAAATGAAGGAATTATACAAGTTGGAAATTACATTAAAAAAATAGATTTGTGCTGGAAGGTGGCTCAATAGTAAAGTTCTTCATGAGGCCTTGGGTTGGATTCCTTAGCACCATTTAAGCAGAAAAGGCCAGAAGTAGCGCTGTGACTCAAGTGGTAGAGCGCTTGCCTTGAACTGAAGAGCTAAAGGACAATGCTCAGGCCAAGTTCAGGCCCCACGACCAAAAAAAAATCATAAATTCAGCTCTGGTTTTCTTTTGGCTTATCCTGTCCATCATATGTCTATTAAATAAATATATCCAGTATTCAGTTATTATTACAATATGGTCCCTACTTAAAAGGGATGCTTCTGGTTTTAGGTATAACAGCTGCAGCAATGGCTGAGGCGATGAAGTTGCAGAAGATGAAGCTTATGGCTATGAATTCTCTTCAGGGAAATGGAAGCCAAAATGGGACAGAATCAGAGCCTGATGATCTTAATTCTAACACAGGTGAGTATCTGCCAATTGGGAAAGATGAAGGCTGAAAGACACAGAATAATACACACACACACACACACACACACACACACACACACACACACACACAGAGTAATTATAAAATAATTCCAGAACGTATCAATAACTTAAAAACTATTGGATTCTATTTTGAAAACATTTAGCTTTTTCTAGTTCTCTTATTCTTTTTTTCCTGAGATAGGATTTCAGAAAACTCAAAATATAACTCAAAATGGCATTGAGTTAGCAAACTTTCTGCCTAAATAATCCCTGTCCTCCTCTCCCCTCCCCACCCACACCCCTTGAGTCCCAATGCTGGTATTACAGCTATTCACTAGAATGCCCAGCACCTCTTCCATGCTATGTTGCAGTGGAATTAATTATTATGGTATTTTACAGTACTATAAAGTCTATATGCAAAAGCTTATTCCATTATAGATTTAACCCAGACTTCCTATTTAACCTTTTTCTAAATAATTTAGTGATTAGATACAAAGCTGAGATTGCAGGTTGATTGGTCTTTTCATATAGAATATTACATCCTTAAATTAAGGTACTCACAGAGTCCAGGAATTATAGGTAGGGGCTAAGTAATAAGAGAAACAGGAAGATGGCAAAGAGAGAACATTAGGTGGGGAAAAGGGAAGTGCTTGTGGTAGTTAACTTCCCCAAACTTTTTACTTCTAGTTTTTTTTCTTTCATTTTGTCTTTATCTTGTAATGATTATACTATAATGACCTTAAATATGATTTGAAACAAGATGCTTATAACTAGCAACATACTTGGATTGATAGTCAAATAAATACATAAATAAGCATATAAGTGAATAAATGCATAAAGAAAGTTTAAATTTTTAGAGTTAATAACGAGAAATTGTGTTAGGAGCATTGGTTTGTTTGGTTATTTTTGGTCGGTCGTGGGGCTTGAACTCTGGGCCTGGGTGCTGTCCCTCAGCTCTTCAGCTCAAGGCGAGCACTCTACCACTTGAGCCACAGCGCCACTTCCGGTTTTCTGGTGGTTTATTGGAGATAGGAGGCTCACGGTCTCTCCTGCCAGGGCTGGCTTTGAACCGCGATCCTCAGATCTCAGCCTCCTGAGTAGCTAGGATTACAGGCGTGAGCCAACAGTGCCCGGCGTGAGCTATTGGTTTTCAAGATAATTCTGTGGTTAAATTCAACATAATTTTGATTGATTGATAGAAGCTTTACCTCTCTTATATGATCCTGGAAGTTCAAGCATCTTGCCATCTTATTATAGAGGGAAATAATAAACAAATAGAGGGAAAGAGCATTTCCTCAAATTAATATATTCAACAACTGGGACTTCATACCGTGAAATTTGCATGTTTGTGGTGAACCACATATGGGCATTTCTCTTAAATAATAATCACAATGAATATTCTTATATATGATAGGATCAATTGATGGGCAAATCAGAGAAAATACAATTTTATAAGTTTTACAATATTAATCAATCTATTAAGAAAAATTAGCACTAAACGGAACAAGAGCAAGTACAGATATACAGAGGTATACATAATATAGTATATTTAATATGTATTAAATAACTATTTCTTCAAATAAATTTCCTTTATTAAAGAAAAAATAATATTGTTGAGCACCAAAACTATATTGATTCTTAGCAAATTTTGAGAAAAGGGTATTTGTAATACTCCCGCTTTAAAGGTCGGGAAATACAGGCACCCAATTACCCAGCTATTCACCTTTGTCTATAATTGTGAAACTAAGAAATTACAACTTGAAATTTTGTTCTTTAATGTTTGTAAATTCAATGTATTTGCTCTTTTTCCATCCATCCTTCTTTTCAATGGTTTCCTGTAATGAGATGTGACTTAATCCAACTTTTACAATTAAAAAAAGTGTTAAAATGTGATGATTAGTGCCTCTTAACTTATTGTCTTTCCAATTTTAAGGTTGGCTACAAGTACCCATGTGTCTTAAAAATGTATTTTATTGTTACTGTAGAGGTGATGTACAGAGGAGTTATAATCACATAAGTCAGATATTGAGTGAATTTCTTTTTGAGCCATGTCACCCCTTACCTCACTTTCTCCCAGTTTTCCCCTCCCATACTCATCCACAAATTGTTTAGTTCATTTTCAACATAATGTCTAGTAAGTATCACTGCTGACTTTGTTCACCATTTGTCCTATCATTTCTATGCGCCCCTTATCTTGCTAAAGGCAGGTAAACAAGACAAAAGTAAAAGACAACAAAAACTGCAAAAACCAAAAATCTTTCCATTTCTTGGAGTTCATTTAGTTAAAGATTTTTTAGAATATTTCATTAACAGTTTATTATTATTATTATTAATTTTTTATTGTAAAAATGTTGTACAGAGGCATTACAGTTACATGAGTAGGGTAATGGGTAGATTTCATAGTAAGCATTGTTACCTCCTCCTTTGTTTTCCCCCTACCATCACTTCCCTCCCCACCTCCCAACTCCTCCAGCCCCCCACCCTGACATTGTAAAGTTCATTTTCAATATAGTGTCCTGTACATCTCGTCATCACAATGGGTCAGCCTGCATCATCCTTCTTTAAGTGTTCTGCAATACCCCTTCCACTCCCCAAATTACAAATATATATATATATATATACATATATATACATGCATATATATATATATATATATATATATATATACAAGGTGCAGAGCACCAGCATCAAATCCAGTGGAAACAGGGGTTATACCATGGGGTAAGAACATACAATAGAAACAAAAGAATCACATAGTGTATTATAAGTACATTAAAAACACTAGCAAGTAAGAGAATAAAAACCTCTTGTGTCCTTGTCTTAGGGTATATTTTGCTTAACATTATCTCATATGGTTGTATGTACATAGCCTTTGACCTACTCTGCTTGTCCTAGACATGTACTAGTCACTGCAAACAAGGGAAACCATGGGACCTATGTTTCTTTGGGCCCGGCTTACCTCATTTAATATTATTTTTTTTCAAAAGCTTTCCATTTCCTAACAAAAGAGGAAATGTCATTCTTTCTGATGGAGGCATAGAATTCCATTGTATATATGTACCACATTTTTTTGATCCATTCATCTACTGAGGGGCATCTGGGTTGGTTCCATATCTTAGCTATGGTAAATAATGCTGCAAGAAACATAGTTGTGCTGGTAGATTTGGTATGACCTTGTCTGTGACTCTTTGGGTAAATGACCAAAAGTGGGATTGCTGGGTCATAAGGGAGCTCTATGTGGAGTCTTTTGAGGAACCTCCATACTGCTTTCCCCAGTGGTTAAACAAGTTTGCACTCCCACCAACAATGCAGTAGGATTACCTTTTGGCCACATCCCCTCCAGCATCTGTTGTTATTAGAGTTCTTGATTATAGCCATTGTAGCTGGGGTGAAGTGGAATCTCAACATTGTCTTGATTTGCATTTCTTTTATGGCTAGAGAGGTTTAGCATTTCTTCATGTGTCTATTGGCCATTTTTAGATTTTTTATGATCATATGCATATAGCTAATAGACTTTTGTGATTCTCTCCTAAGAATATCCTCCTTTGCTCTCACTCAAGAGACCTGTATTACTTATAATGTCATGTGTATTGTTTTTGTTATCATTCAGTGTGTTTACTTGTAGATTTATAGAGTGCCCATTGCTTTTTTGTAATAGCCACTTGTAATTTAAGTGAATTCAAATTAGCAAGTACCAGTGAAGTAACTTCTGTCATGTCTTTTACATTAAATTTAAAACCCTTTTTACCCCTCTTCTTTTCAAATTAGCTATTTATCTTTTATGATGTGATATCAAATTATTTTGAGGGTCATACTGGTATCCTAGTTTCCACCATGTCATATATTTAGTTAACAGTTTTCATGGCTAGGTATAACCTGTTAAAAGTCCAAATATACAGTATTGTGGTAAAATACCAACTTTTTCATAATTGTTTGATATTTTATATGGTACTGCTGAAATATAGTAACTATTTCACTGTCCTTGACCTTGCACAGATTAATCTGGGGACTGTGATGTGTTTGATGGCCATTGGGTCTCCTATCTATGTGTATATATATAAATATCCATTGGGCTCCTATCTATGTGTATATATATATATATATATATATATATATATATACACACACACACACACACACATAGATAGGAGACCCAATGGCCATCAAACACACACACACACACACACACACACACACACACATATATATATATATATATCATGTTCTTTTCCTTTTGACTCCAGTGTACTTCAGTGTGTTTCAAGAAGGGAAAGGAAGAAATGGTATTGAAAAGAGAGAAAACATTCCTCATTGTATAGGGCCTAATTACTACTTGAGGGCATGATCTTCCTGAATGTTCATGGTTCAAATAGAACTACGATATTAGATATTTATTGCAGAGGAAAACTATGTCTTCAAGATTCATGAAGATTTAATTGAATTGTGGAGCCCCAGATCTTTTCAGGCAAAGGGATGTCATTCCATTAGGTAAATAGTCTTCCATCAGGTGGATTTAGACTTATTACATGAAGAAAACACATTGTTTGCATCATGGGTGCTGTGGCAGAGAAGTGCACATTAGAGGATAATGTAATGCCATTATTTTGTGCTTTATTACAGGGAATTCTTACTGGCATATTTGAAGGACGTCACAAGTCATCAATGTTTCACAAAGAGCTTGTGCGTGAATTAAAGAAAAACTATGGCTAGTGACCATTTTTAATCCACTCCATGATAGATTGAAGTAATTTTTATTATGATTGTCAACAAAATTAAATTTTTATATTTATTTAGCATCCACAATGCAACCGTGAAGGAGCATTTCAGTGATATTGTGAATTGAAGACAAAAATCCCTAGGTTTCCGGGGCTGGGAAGGTGGCTCAGTGGTAGAGCACTTGCCTTGCATGCCTGAGGCCCTGGGTTTGATTCCTCAGCACCACATAAGCTAAAAGACAAAAGAAGGAAGTGGTGCTGTGGTTCAAGTGGTAGAGC